ATATCATATATATACACGACATATACATATAGGGATATCTGTAAAGTTTAGGAGTTGGGGTTCATTGGTCTGGAGTGCCATCCCTCAGCCATGACTTTTGCTGGCTCGTTTGGAGCTGGCTTCTTCGGCATCTTTAAATCATTGTTTGTTGGGTTGTATATTTATCGACCGCCACAATGCAATGTTCCTATGCGAGGAGGCAAATCTTCTCATGACCAGACAATCCAATGCGTTTTTTGCATCTTTGAACCCTGAGGGTTGGCTTGTCTCTCAACGAAGAAAGATGAGATGTCTACTTGCCCATGCAAAGAGTGTCGTGTCGTGCAGTGAAGCTCGCATGAGAAGTGGTGAGTATCAAAGAGGAGAGAGTATCAAACAACTCGGTTTGTTGCCTGAGGGATTTCCAAGACACTCTACACTGGGCTCGCTTAAATTCAGAATCTGCCTCTGTCATGCCTGGGCCAGAATGCTGCGCGACATGACGAGGAGCTGGAGGATGAAGGCCCAGCAGAATTCAAGCAGGAAATGCTTTTAGGATCATCTTGGGCTTTCTTGCAGGACTGATGGCGTCGGATTCTGTTGCAAGTATGTTGCAGAAAGATTCAGATGGTAGATGGGGCCTTCACAATGACGCTGCCATAATCTTATGGGTGCATAAGGGGCCCCTGGTGTTGAAGGCAGGCAAACTCAAGAGACCTTTCGCGCTTTGGCACCTCGTGTTTGGGACCTTCCCGGGCGCCTGCGGAGTTGTGGGGGACATGGGGGGGATAAGGTAGAGACTACTGTCAGGGACATTTCATTCCACAAGGCTAATATGTACTATAGTCTAAACTCCTTAAAGGGGGCTACATGGGGGATAATGGAAAAGACAATGGAAGCTACTATTTAGGGTTAAGGGTTAAAGGTGTAGGGCTTAGGGATTAGGATTTAGGGTCTAAACTCCTTGAGGGGGTTATATGGGGGATTATTTAGGGGACTACTATAGGGATTATTAAGGGGATACCAGGAGTTTAGACCACAGCTCATATGCTGTCTAGGCTGTGATGCCCCGCATGTGGTTGCTTCACTGCTGGACTACATGGCACATGTACCAACATGACTATCCAAAGGTGCAAAGTGCAACAACAATGTTCACTGCAAAGTGGAAGAACCACATGCGCGGCAACGTTGCTCAACCCACTTAGTCAGATTTTGCCATGCAAGTCCCGGTTTTTGGCTCCCGGTATCATGGTATGGGCAGGGTTGAAAATACGGACAATCCCCCCAACCCCCCACAGAAAAGTGTGCAGGTAGTATGTAAGCCTTTCGTTACAGTGCCGATCCCATGCTGACATTGCGCAGATGCCGACACCGAGCCTGAGTCGAACCCCTCGTCTGGGGAGGAGGTCAAACTCCCAATTTCGGACCCTGTTCCCTGAACCCTGAACCCGAAAGCTGAACCCCCTACAAATGGTCTTAAGCATGCGAAGGAACTAGTAGGGGTTCATGTAGGATTTGTGGAGGGATCCCTTGCGTTGGACTGCTCTGAAGCTAAGTGGGTTTCAGGCTTACTTTGCTGAAGGCCCTTTTTGGCATAGGGTCAAAATTGGAGGGTTAACACCGGCATACCAGGGCTGGGCTTGAGGCTGAGGGTTAGTGGCTTGAGGTTCAGGATCATGGATTTTGGTCTGTGAAAAAGGAGGTACCTGTCAGCAAGTGCTTTTAGGGCGCAGGAACTGCGCTGCAAGCTCGAGAAGTCTCAGTTGCCTTTTGGATGAGTAGGTTCAAATTCTGTCTGGATGTCCTCAACTGGAGAATGCTCTCTCTATTGTTTCTGAAGTGGAGTTTCATGTTTGGGTTTGTATTCTGTGGCACGTGCACGGGACGTAGAATGCTACACGCATTGTAATTTACTGGTGATTACTAGGGAAGAAGGGAACATCATCCCTATATACTAATTTCCCCTTGTTCCCTACTAACCCCCAGTAAGGTAAGCTTTCAGCCCCAACCTCTCAACTGGGTTGCTGTTAAGGAACTTAATTTAAGCTACTATTTTGGGAAGCCATACTCATTCTTATATATATATATACATACATACCCATTATGGTGACTTAATTTAAGTGCCCACCCACCCTAAACCTTAAACCCTAAACCCTAAACCGTGGTGTGGTGGGCGAGACTGAAAGTGGCAATGATGGTGGAGGTAAAAGGCCCAGGATTTCGACTCCGTGATGTTCTGAGAGCACCCGCATTTTGCGTAGTGGACCCCCCTAGCTGATGCTGGCACAGAAAAGTGCGAAGGGGTGTAAAAAAAAATAAACCTTAAACCTTGACCCTCAGCTCCAACCTCTCAAAGCATCGCTAGGCTGACGGCCAGGAGGATTTGCTCTCGGACACAGCAGACGAGGCCCCGACGAGTGGGAGGAAGACTGGATGGTTAAACTATTAGGGTTTAGGGTTTGGGTTCAGGGTTTAGGGTTTAGGGAACCCAAGTATATACCTGATTACACTATAGCAGTTTCAATTTTCTTTTCTCTTATCCCTATATCCCCCAATACAACACAATATGAGGGACTCTTCAGGTTTTTTGCTTGATCAGTGGGTTGATTTGGCTGGATTCAGCTTTCCAGTTGATTGCAAGGTTGAAGAGTCCCTCTTGTGCAGCCTTGTGCGGCCCTTTAGTAAGGAAGTGCAAATCTTAGTCGCTTTTGCTCTCCTCGCTTTTGAAGCAGGAGTTATCGTTTCATAAGTTTGTCTTGTGCGCCGGAGAGTGGATTCAGGGTTGCGCGAGTTCCAGTTCGAGGTGCAAACTAATGTTGCGCGCTTACGATGTCATATACCATGATGGCGAGGACGTGTACTTGGGTGCCACGATCAGAAGCACGAGGTGGCAGGAATGCACGAGTGAGAATAATGGCATTGTTATTTGGCAGGACAGCTCCTTCATGATGAGCAGCAGCAAGCAGTATAGTTCACACTATGTTGTACAAGTAAGTCTACAGCATCACGGGATCATTCCGTCTGAGGCCTTGCTACTGAGATTTTTGCAAAGCAAGCTTCAACACCCCTGCCTGCACATGTGCCATAGCTGCTGCTAGGATGCGCTCACTGAGCTTGTGACCAGAATCCTCGTCCTCCTTTTTGTTTCTGATGCTGAGATTACTGCTTTAGGATTGCAACTCGTCCTGGTATTGCTGCTGCCATCGCTCCATGTCAGTGTAGGACGTGCTCAGGCAGAGGATGACAACGTGTGTCAAGATGAGGCCTGGGCTTTAGGTATTGCGGTTCAGCCCGGTTAAAGACAACCAAGCTGTGAGCCCAAGGGTGTGCCCAAACCTGGGGCACCCTAACCAGAAGCTCTAGCGCCCAACATGGTCCCCACATAAGCTACGATTTTGCTTGGTTGTGGCAAGCTTAGGAATATCGGCGGTAGTGGTGGTTGTATATCCGGGTGTCCTTTTGAGGAGACCATAAACAAAGTCCTAACTTACATAAGATACTTCTGCAGACTTGGTTAGCCAATTGTTTTTTTTCAAGCTGCAACATGCCAGGATGTCATGGCGCTCCCCGTGGGGGTGGACGCGCTGCCGAAAAAGGCCAAGCCAAACAATTCGGTCTTGAGGGTTGAGAGTTTCAGGGTTGAGGGGCCGGGTTCTGAGGATCTAGAGGTTTAGTTTTTAAGGTTTGATTGAGGCGGGGATTGAAGATTTCGCTCTTAGGGATGAGCCACAGTTCAGGCAAAATTGCCGTTCTACATGTAGGAACCTGGCTTCCACCTTAGAAAATCAGATGCCTAAAATATGCGGCCCGCACAGCGGACCTGGACATTCAGGTGGCCCAGCAGGCGGCAGGATTTCTCTTTCCTGCGCTTGTTCATCTGTGCGAAACAATTCTTACAGCTCCTTGAATCTTCCTGGGTGGTCTGGCCGCGTCCTGCAAACATATTTGGGTCCCGATGTTGGGAAGCCTTCACCCGTGTTGAGCTATCGCCCTCAACCCAAGACCTCCGAAGCAAAAGCACTGTCGCTTAGCAGCGGCTTTTCGTCGAACACTAAACCCCTCACCAAACTCAAAAAACACCACATGAATGCAGGTAGTGAAGGCGCCTCCGATTCCACCGCTGCCACCAAGGCCGGGTGCGGAGGTTTGACGCAGCGCCATCTGAACACGCGTACAATTGGCGTGCATTTTCCAGAGGGCAGTGACTTGGGGCAAGCGCGTAGAGGGCAGCCAAGATGTAGGAGCACTTCCCATCAGAGCAAAGCCCCAGATAGTCCAGCTCATCATTTCCATTTCAATTTCAGCAGCGAAGCTAGCAAGGCTGCAACTCCTCAAGAAGCTGATTGAGGCACGCCAGTGCTGACACACTTTATTGCAATATGCGGGCCGCTGCAGCTCCCAAGTGACTAGTGACATTGCAAGCAACTCTCTTCTTACAAGTACTGGGACTGAGAGACTAGCCGCCGTTAGCAGAAGCGGTCCTTTCTGCAGTGCTGGTTTTTGCAGCAGTTAATCTGCTCGGGTACTGCCACAGCCATTGCTGCTGCTACGGTTGCTGCAGGGTGGCCCTCGTTATGACATTTAGACGTGCATGAGGTTTTTGTATGTGTGTTAATAGTAAGTCACTTCGCCATTTCTTTGCTTCAGTGACATTCTTGTGCTGAGTAGCATGCTTAGGCTGAGCCTTGTTCCAGGAAACAGGTGGTCCGTGCGAGACGCAGTGGTCCAAGCTCTCTGTGGGCCCAGGGCGGGGCTGCTTGACGCTGGAGTTGGGATCGTTGGTATGGACTCTATGCACCTACCTGTCACTCACGATGTCCTGAATTCCCACCAATCTGGAAATTCTCAGGACTGGGACGGTACGTCTGAGTTCCAGGTCCTAAGTGCGCTTGTACTTGCACTTCCTGAGCTGCCGGTGCAGTAGTCGTGGGCAGTCGGGAAGCCCTCAGCTTAAAATCGTGGTAGGGGATGATCCCTAAACCCAGAATCTTGAATCCTGAGCCTTGACCTCCAACCCCCAGGTCCAAGCTGACGTATGCAGACTTTCTGCGACGGCCAATGCCTTGGAGAGAATGGGCACTATGGGTTGGGTTGGGGTGCGTAGGATGTGGTGGTTAAGGGGTTAGACGTGGATCTCGCTGTAGGCTTTGGCTCAACCTGAGCTGCTGGTAAAACAAAGGTCTCTTTTCTTTGGCCCTTGGGGGGTCTATCCTGAGCAGTGGCACTCCGCAAGATGATACAAAGCAGCAAGACGTGTAGATGCTAAAAAGGTTGGGGCCTCCGTTGATAGGTTGACCTCGAGTTTCCTGGTCTTAGTAGTTTTCTTGTCAAGAAAGCCATCGCATAGACTCCTCACGGCAAGCACTGTCTCCAGTCTTTCAATCTTGCTTTTCGACCCATACGTCTTATTGGCTTAAACTTCCGAAGTTATTTCTAGTACGATGTGGGCTTGTGCATCGATCCGTCCCTTCTATTTCAGCCTCCTCCCATCCCAGGCTGTGCAAGAAGGCTGAGGAAAACGGCTGCAGCGAGGCCGCTCGCAGCAGAGTGTCGAGGACTCAGATTTGGGGCGTCGAGGGTTCCGGGCTTTTGGGCTTTAGTGCTTTAGGACAGCTTAGTGCAGTAGACACGAGACTGTTGCAGGATATGGCCACACAGGTGCTTCTTGTGGCGCTGCTGGTTTTGGTGGCATTAGGCTACTGGTGGTGCTGGTGCTGATGCTGATGCTGCCGGTGCTGGTGCTGGTGCCGGTGCTGGTGCGCTGGCTCTGGCGCCGGTGCTGGTTTCGCTGGCACTGGAGCTTGGTGCTGGTGCTGATGCTGCTGCTGGCGGGGCTGGTGCTGCTAGTGGCAGTGGCGGTGGCGGTGGTGCTGGCGGTGGTGGCAGCGGCGGTGGTGACGTCGGGCATGGAGGATAGGTGCATGATGATGATGACGACGGCAGCGAGTGGGCTTCAAGATTAGAAGGCTAAGTCCGTAATTCGTTTCTTACAAGGGTGCGTACCAAAGAAATACCTTGAACTAGCCTGTTTTATCGGAGACCTAGGAGGATATGTTCTTGACGGTTCAAGTTTTCGATTGCTTCAGGTCTATGCTCGGAGTGAAGCTGCATGATGCTGCTTTATGACATGATCCGAACCCGCAACCCTCAAACCCCAAGCTCAACCCAAGCTGCTAAGCACTCGACCCTAAATTCTTACTTGAATGCCTAGCTTTCCATTTTCCCAATATTACCTTCATATAACTCCAAGATATTTTAGTAGTTTCCAGTTCATTTTGCATTATTCCAGTATTACCCCAATATCATCAGTTTTCTCGGAGGTCGTTCAGCTTCAGACCTGCTCCTGCTCATGCCTGAGAAAGCGCATGTGCATCATGCGGATTCAAGACATTTCCCAAGGCATCCCTTATATGCGCACGTACAATGACGCGTGTATCATGCCCGGCATGTACACATACTTACACATTATATACATGTATATATATATATACACATGTATATGTATATCTACATCTACATCTGCATATACATATACATATACATATGTATGTAGGTATGTATGTATGTATGTATGTATACACACATACACATATACACACGTATGTATACAAGCACGTTTCCTGCGTGTACATGTATGCGTATATGTCTGTGTATATGTGAATGCATAGGTGTATGTCTATGGTGTATGTCTATGTGCATGTATATGTGCACACGTGTATACGTGTGTATATGTGTGTATACTTGTGTACAGGTAGCCCCCCCCTCCCTCCCTTGTTATCACCGTTTTGGTGGCTGTGGCTGGCTAACAGGGGTCATTAGGATTAGGGTGTACAAAGTTCTCTATAGAGGTTGCCCTAAAGTTCTCTATAGAGTTGTCTACATAATTCTCTATAGAGTTCTCTGAAAAAGTTCCCTGCAGAATTCCTGAGACGACATTATAGAGTTCCATAGAATTCGAAGCACTCTTGGCTTGCATAACCTTCTATAGAGTTCTTACAATTCGTAGAGACTAGAGAGGAGTTCTATGAAACTATATATGCAGCTCTGTAAAGAGCTCTACAGAGATCTGCAGAGCTTTCTTTAGAAGTCTTCGAGGAAGTTTCCTGAAAAGTTCTAGGGAAATCCACAAGAGTCTTCTAAGCTTTATTGAGTTCTCTAACGCCTCTGTAGAAAGCTCTGTAGGGAAGTCCGAAGAAAATCGGGTGCTGGTTTGAAGACTGAGCGTTGAAGATTCAGGGAAATCTTTTCCTGGGAATCTCAAATCTTCAATCCAGCCCCCCGATTGAACTCAGTCGGGCCGATTGAACTCAATCGGGTCGGGCGGACTCCAATGAGACATGTACCTTCTGAGCCTGAAACCTGTCAGACGATATTTACTTGGGTTACTGATATATTAAGGCCCGCTACCTTATTCTTCGCTACACCTCCCCGAAAAGGTGGATGACTGGGGATACCATATACATGTATATGTATATAGTTAGGCATTTGATGTTTAGATCCTTCGGGGCTTGGGAAAGATCTTGAATCTGACTTCAGCTTTTGACAACAAACCTTGTTGAGTACAAGCTGTAGGACATTTCCCAGCCCCAGGTGGCACAGACCTACGCCAAGTTTAATCGAGCGCGGCGGGTGCTGCCTCCAATCGAGGAGCCACTCTCGTCGTTAAGGGCTTACCAGTACAGGGTGGCTTGCTTGCAGCTTGCATTTTCCGAGCTGAGTCTATTTGTCCAAGGAGGACATGTTCAGTGCAGGTATGCATGTGGTTCGGTGTGCGCTTCCTGTCTGTAGATTGCACATACACAACACAGCCAGACAAGTATAAAGGGAGGAAACTTCAACGAGGCCGCCCAAGCCAGGCAAGAAACTATCTGAATCACTCATGTTTTCCAGCCTTAAGCAGTCCCGAGAGCATTCAGGTTGCTGCATCACTTGCCTCTCAGTGGTCCTACCTTGAACATGGAATAAACCCTGCGCGCATATGTACCTGCTGGTGGCAGGGATCCATCGTAGTGGTGCGGGCCTCGGTATACTATAGTAGTTTCCATTTTCTTTTCCAATCTCCCAATATTGCCCCAATATAATTCCAGTATAACCCCTATATACCCCCAATATAACCCCCATCTAACCGTGTTGAATCTTGCCAGACTTGCATGCAAATTTGGGCAGTTCATACAGATGGAGCGCGCAGCAATCCCCTGGTTTCGGTCCCCTACCACGCTCAAAAGAATATTTTCAATAAATATCCTGGTGGTTATATTGGGGTTATATTGGGATAATGGAAAAGAAAATGTCAACTACAAGGTCTGTATTTTCAGGGTTTGTACTTGGAGGGTCATGGAGACTTAGTAAGTAGGCTAATAAGGGGATACTTGGCTTAATTGGGGTTAGTATGTGGCTTATAGGGGTTATTAACCTACTTGCTAAGTCCCCGTGACCCTCCAAGTATTTCCTGGGAAGGATCACCTAAGCTTCAAAGCTAACACCGTAAGTCTCCTGGGCTGCCGCTAAGGCCACAGCACAAGCTCCCAAAGTTTATGGGATCTGGTTGAGACCCAGATTGCTCTTTTGGAGTATGATAGTAGTTTCCATTTTCTTTTCCATCATCCCTATATAACCCACAATAGATACCCTATAATCCTTATATAAAGCATTATACCAAGCCTGGAACAAACCGAGGGGGTTAAGGAGGATCTTTTCATAAATATGGGTCTCCGGGCTCAATGTCAACAAGTTGGAGAGGCGGGCTGCTGAAGCATGCTAGGTATTGCCTTCCACATACATAGGGTGTGTAGTGCGGAGTAGCTGAAGTCGGCCTGACTTCCCGCAGCAGATGAACCCCTGCTCCCAAAATCTAAGCGTTGCAGCCCCCTCAACTCTGAACCAGAAGCCTTAAAGTCAGCCCAATTCCCAACCTCATCCGCTGGCTGAGGATGATGACGCAGACTGCACATCCGAAAAAGAGGATAAGGCCAGACGAGCACGCCCTCCCCGAGCCCTGATGCAAAAAGATGTCATATTGGGGTTATGTCAGGGCTATATTGGGGTTATATGGGGATGATGGACAGAAAATGGAAACTACAGGGTCTAGAGAGTCTGACACTAGGTGACTTTTTTGGATGATAGTGCGAGAAATCTATCGGAGTGCATCTGCTGGCATGCGAGGAAGTTGGGATTACGGATGACATGTCCTTCTGTGAGGGGCCCCTTTGGCAGGGTGTTTTGTTGCGGGAACCCTGATGTTAGAAGCAGCCATCGCAGAGCCATGGCCAATCCTTTTCCAGGATGGCGCATGGCTTCAATTCATTTTCCTCGTGTGTATGAGTTGCTTTCACTACAGCTTGTGCAGTGTTTTTGGCAAGGGCACAGCGCACATCCAGCACTTCTTTTGACTTTTGGGCATCAATCCTTACCACTGGTATGACATGGATCCCATTAAATTTCTTTCTGCCTGATAAAATGAGCACCATTTATGCGAAGTGCTTGCTCTGAAAAGCGTTGAGCTCCAGCGAGTTGCGTTTTGCAGTTAAGCTGCCTGTTGCCAGATTTCATCAATGCCTGGCAAACTCCTAGGCAACTCTTTGACATATGTAGTCTTGATCCCCGGCATATTTCTGCTCCTTCACCCTGTCAGTGTCTGCAGACTATGTCGCACTCTGCAACCTTTGGAATCCATGCCGACATCCTCAAAGAGGCTTGCCAGATTTCTCGAGGACAGGTTCTGTATATTCCCGGAGTTTCTAACGTCGCGAAAGCTGCAGTCATGCCAATCTTCCCACTTGAGACCACCCGTCAGAAAGCCTGCAAGCCGAGCAATCTGCAGGTTAAACCTCACTTCCATCGAGCGGGTTCAATGCCCGGGTCGCAACAAGGAAAAAAGCGGAACAACTTGAACAGCAAGGCTTTTTGGGGCCATTGCATCCACGAATCCTAAGGCCGCACGGCCGGAACCTGTTTCCAGTCCCAAGACACAAAATGCAAAGGTCTTTCAAAGCTCTTTAGAGCTTCTAGCACTAGCCTCAAAAACAGAATTCATCCCCATCATCGCAGCCAATCCTGAATTGCAGAGGAGGGAACCCCATAATCCCCTTTTGATCCTTCTGTCTATCCATGAGCCTTCCCCCAACCCCCCCCACATCCAGAATCACCCTATACCCTCAACCCTAGACCCTGAATTCTCAACCTTCAGATCCAAAATCCTGGTCCCTCAACCCTGACACCAAAACCTTCGAACGTGCCTGAAACCCGAATTAAGCTGTGCAGGTGCAGTTGGAGCTTCCAAAGCCGGCTCCCAAAGCTTCGTCAGAATCGGCAAAGCCAGCCAAAGAGCAGAAGGCGCGCTATTTCTATGGTTCAGGGTGTAGGAATTGGGGGTGGCATTTTGCCCCCGCACTAGAGGATTGTGTTCTGGAGCGCCGCTGAAATTAGGAAAAAAGAAGGATAGCATAACCAAAAGGTCCGAACAACAAGAGGACAGCAAAACGATAGCAACATTTCGTGATAAACCGAACGTAACAGGCTTTTCATGCAACCTTGCTGGGCGTAGATGAGGGGTGGGTGGCGAACGTGGGCTGGTATGCTGTAGGGGCCTGTTCAAAATTCAATACGGTTAGAATAGAGTAGTATAGCATATATGCCGGCAACCAACAGCATAGGATGATGAAGGGATAATCCGTATTGGCTGTGGGTCTAGTTGCATGCGTAGAGCGAAAGGAGATCCTACAAAGATCCAGTTCAATCTTGAAGGTCCGGTGTGGCTTGTTCTCTGCGTAGTGGCGCGTCTCTGAACGCAACGGCTTTTTTTGTTTTGTTTCGCGTCGCTCACGTTCAACGCAAACCATGTAGGCTCCAAACCATCTCAAACCCTGTGTGCTCCTAAACACCTGGAGAGTAAGATAAGAAAGCAAGAGACTGGGTCGTTTCCTGTGCGGCAAAGCCAAACGTCTGTACATAGTCACAAGAGGGCCTGCAAGACTAATCCTGTCAAACATTCCGCGTCATCTTAACATCTTGTCCTGTTTGGTAGTTTCCCTAAACAAGGGAACCCTAGTATAGACCCCAAATTACTATAGTCCTTGTTATGGGGATCCCCAAAATAGTACCCCTAATTTTAGGAAACCCCCATTTTGATTTAGAAGTGTAGCAGATTCTTCAGACTGTGCAGGCAGCCCGAAAAGAGTTGGAGCCAGAGTACAAGGCCGGAGGAGGGCACACGTCTCGTCTCAGAAAGACATTTCTCGTCAATGATTTACCAACAAAATTAGGGGTACCATTTTTAGGGGTTCCCATAATAAGGATTATAGTATTTTGGGGTCTCTAGATGATTTACCAGAATACCTTGGTAAGAAGCATGGCACCGCCACCGGCCAAGAAAATGCCTTCTACACACCATCAGAGCTTGTGGGGGAGGCTCGATTTGATCCGATCGTGCGGTTTGACAACCTCAGCCCAGAACGGTAAAGCCTTTTTCGCCCCTCCACCAAGTTTCGAAATCCCAAGGCAATACGCAGATATTTGTTGCCAGACCTTGAAAATGGAGCAGCTGAAAGCATCTGTCTGCCCCGGAAGGCACCGACTGCTGCCGTGGTGTTGCTTCGCAAGTATTTCAGCCAGGAGACTCGCAGCGTTTTTGATTAGATGTATACACCTTTTGCTTCTCAATCTCTCCTGAACGGGGATTGAAACCTGACGACGCTGCTTGTACATGTTTAACTGATTCAGAGCCCGCCTCAGTGCGAGGTCGTAGCCAGAGCGCTACAAAGATTCCCTACACCCTAAGCACGAAGCTTAAACCTTTTCTATACATGTGGCATCCTCTGACCACAGCTATCGCTATCCTTGAACTCTTGAGGAGCGCGTCCTGGGTACCCTGAACGGAGAACTGCTCTTTGAGGCGAGTTTGCAGGGTGAGCCGGGGTTCCTAAGGCTCATGGGTAGTAACCTGGGTTTTGGGACTTAGGATACTGCATGGGGGTTTGCAGATACGCCAAAGTAGGTCACAATCACAACTACGGGTCATCCGCTTGTACTTCCACCCAAGAAATACAATTGCGCAGGAACCTGCAAGTGGAGCTGTGTAGCTTGACGGTGTGGGGTTTATGTCTCCTTAGGGGGAACCTGATTGGCTTCCATTTTGGCACCGACATGAGTTCCCTAGAGTGCGGCGTCACAGCCAGCTACTCCTCATTCGACCTGTGGTGGCTTTCAGAAAATGGTCTCGGTTTGGGTGTCCTTGGCACATGGCTTTGCTTTTTTTTGGGGGGGGAATATTTTCTTCTTCGGAGCTGCGTTGAGGGAGTCCCTCAATTTTTAAGCTGCTGACTGAGTCAGCTTTCGTTGTATCCCAAATCGGCATGCCTGAGTTGAGTACCATCATCCTGCACCAGCCATCACTGAAAAGATTTTGGTGTCTACTCCGTCCGCATCTTCAGAGTTCCCGTATGTCTTTCCTTCACCATCCCGATGCACTCCTTGCAGAAAGCAGTTGTATAGCTTGTCCGCCTGTGCCCGCAGGCCGATGGTGTCCAGTACCCTCTGCCAAAGCCTTGGAAGGGCAACAGCGCAGGCTCTACACAGGTGCTATGCAGGGATCCTTCACATCACGTGGGGGTTGTGTGAAGCGACCAGTGTTTCGTAGCCTGATTTGTGCCTCCGTTGAGCTGCTCGCTGGGAAGTGCTGCTTAGAATGCTTGCTAAGGGACACGGTAACTCCGCTGCGATGTACGCCGTCCACTGGCTCGGAGCTTCTGAGTGCAGGCCTCGGAAATACTCGGGAAAATACAGTGGTAATAGGGTGGTGGTAGTCGTGAGAGAATGTTAGTTGAAGCAACAGGGGTTGGTAGCTGGTAGCAGATGAGCAGCAGCAGCGGCGGCAGCAGCAGGAGGATGAGGAGGAGGAGGAGCATGGGCAGGAGCAGGAGCAGCAGCAGGAGGAGGACCGGCAGCATGAGCAGCAGGAGCAGCATGGGCAGGAGCAGCAGGAGGAGGAGGGGGGAGGAGGAGGAGCAGCACGAGCAGCAGCAGCAGCAGCAGGAGCAGCAGGAAGAGGAGGAGGAGCAGGAGCAGGAGCAGCAGCCACAGCCGTAGCCCTAGACGTTGTTGGAGCACGCGCTCCGGCGTCCGCATGTGAAATGAAGTACGCGTATGTGTAGTGACCAGCACCTGCAAGCCTGTCACCCTTCCTGGCTGGTGCTTACGGAAGAGCGAGGGAGGGCATCCCTATAGCCTGCCTGTTCCAACGCGTTCCCTGTATTGACACCTGTATTTGCCCGCAAAATCCTCAAATGTAGGAACTGTAACAAAATGTTTTCGCTCCGTGACGGCCCCCAAAGCACCAGCAATCTTCTCCGAGGCCTAGGCTCACTGTTCGCAGCTGTCAGTCTGCAAGACAAGTACGAAGGCAGGTTGTCTGGCGCTTGAGTAAGGGTTTAGGAGAAGTGTTTAGGGCTGCAATAGAGATTGTTGCGTCTAGAGCAAATGGTGTTGCGCTTCGTGCGTAGGCGAGGCTGGACTTGAGAGAAGATTTGAAGAAGGGTTGGCCACGTCGTGGCTCTGTGGTGGCCGTTGGGCAGTGGATGCTCTACGTCGTTTTGAAGTAAACCTTCTTCATGAACATAACTCTGACGCCACCTGAAACCCCTCCATGAATCAAGCTGTTCCCAGCAACTTGACCTGAAGTTGGAGATCAAGAGTTTGGATTTCTGGAAACCCTGTACCCAGCTGCATGCACAGGGCAAGCGACGCCCGACTTCCTGAAGGGCCCAGCCCTCAACGTCGTTCGCAAATTCTGTGAACCTTCCAAGACCTCTGAACAGCTAACTCCCAAGTCCTTCACACAGCAAATTGAAAACGCACAAAACACAAGCCGACCCTGAGTCGTTACATGTGGCAAGGTAGCCCCCAACAACAACTAAGTACTTGCTGTGGCTGGTAAACCTCATCGTGTATGACCCCTCATATATGACCCCTCATATATAACGGTCTTCTCTCCTCTCCTTCCCTTCTTTGGTCGTCCTCTCAGGCTGGGGGGGCTCTTTTCAGGCTGCAGGTCCTCCTGAGCCGCGGCTCCTCCCTCCTCTCTTTCTTTCCCGCTTGGGCCTTCCTCTTAGGTTCCATGCCCTCTTGACCGCTCACAGGCTGGAGTTAAGGCGGGAAGACTTCATCAGCCTTCCTTGAACCTTGACGGTTGTGCTGGCAGTACTCACTGGGGCTCGCAGGCACAGGAGTGCTCAGAGTTCTGTCCTCAAACAAGAGGTAATTGAACCGCGAACCTTGGCAACGTGTCTCCTGGGTTCATTGTGAAATTTGTGGCTATAGTTTCCAAAGCAAGAATCATGGTCAGCAGTGGCACAGCTGGACCGTTCTTGGCCAGAACTCGGAAAGGCAAAAGTGGCCACTTCAAAAGAAGGGAGTTTGGAAACCCACCAACTCCATTCTAAGAAAGGCCTAAACGCTAAGCACCCGTAAGGTTCTGGATGTCCTGCCACTGAGGCCTCAAGGCAAAGAAGCTTCGATCCGCTCATGTGGAGAGCCTGGTAGCCTACCTGCTGGGCAAGCGGCTTGGCACACTCTGTTGATTTGGAGGGTGGAGGGTTTAGGTGGCTCAGGGTCTTGGGAGTCTTTATGGGGGCTTGGTCTGTTGAGTTATATGAGATTCGAGGCTGACAGCTTTATCTGCCCGTCGATTGAGCATCATGGTTTGCACCTAGTAGTACTCAGCACAAATGAGGGAGATGCCCATCGCAGTCCCCACAATCCTTCTCGTACCAATTCGCAGAGTTTTGCCTGGAATCCATTTCCTGTTGCTTGCCAGCGCTACGGATCAGATACACGGCCCAATTTGCTTTGAACATCACATTCACGCACCAAAAGCGAAAGCCTTGAGCCTGCCATCCTGATCCCAAAGCCCTGGAACCTTGCCAAGTGAAGCTCCTATAGCCACATAGGGAAGATACTTCATGGTGGAGGAAGGGCTGAGAATGACAAGGGTTTGAGAGGGGGTTACTGTACGGACCTGACTATCAAGCGGGGGAGGGCATGGTTTGATGTCCCAGGGACTACGCTTACAGGCTGTTGAAATCCTACCTAGCCAGGACCGACAGTTGCAACTTGCTGCTCAGCCGAGCGAAGGCGAAGAAGGCCGGCAGAGTTTGGAAGGGTGAGTTTGGGCTCGGATTTGTGAGTTTGACATTGGAATCTGAATGGGTTCAGCGTTTGGGGAGTTGATGGATGTCTGTTTGAAGAGGGAAGGCAGTATTCCGCAATCCTGTTGAATATTTAGAGTATTCAATGTACCAGGATGATGAACATAGCATTGGGAATGGCAGCGTAGTCGTCGTAATTCTGTACTTAGATTTTTCAGCCTTCCGGCGAGCTATGATCTCAGTCTCGTTATATATCACCATGACATGGGGTCGCTATTGCTCCTTCATTGTGATGCTGATGAGTATCACGTTCCATTTTTGCCTTATGATCTCTCTCGTACAGTAGCGCTGCTGGTGCAGTTCCTTCAACGAAGATCAGTACCGCTAGGAGGACGTTGGGGAGGCGGCTAGTACTATGAGCACTGATATAAGTGAGATTGCAGTCTTACGAGGATCAGCACTAGTGCATATACTACTACCACCACTATTGGTTCTTCTGTGCTAAGGTACTGCTGCTTCTTCTTCTGATGCTCATGCTGCTACTTTCCTTGCTGCCAGCAACTACTGCTATTCCCGCCGCTACGAATCCTTGTTCCGCCCTACCAATATTGCAAAGATTTGCAAAGTGTCTGCCACGATGTTAGAGCAGGTGCTAGTACTATCAACACTATCCTCCCTTGGATACGCGCATGACAATTTGGGTTGGTTTACACGTAGCCTGGGACAAAGTGCTCCTCAGGAGGAGTAGAACTAGCAAGCTACCCTGTCATGTGCCAGGACTAGGTCTAGGGACACCTAGCTGCTTGTGTTTGATGTTTGATACCCGCCTCACCACAAGCACTTAAACGATGCAATTTCACAATAGTCCTTGAAACTCCACGCAGTACCCGATTCCCATGTCCTCATGTCCTCCTGTTCGTTTTGCAACTTTGCAGGTATCTGACTCGCAGCCTTCCCTATTGAACGAGGCGCCATGACGGAGTCCTCTGAGTTACAAAGTGTCCGATCAAGTCGAGCAAATTTGCGATTGAGCGAGCTTGAGCAGCCAGCAAGACCATGTCCCAAGCATCCCTCACGCCTAAGCTCAAATCCCTCCCAGCCTAATTCCAGGAACACTGATCTCTAGATCCACAACTTCAAAGGCTTAAGCCGTAGATCTAGCTCTTGCTACCGGCATGGAGGATGCTCTAGGAGGGCGCTCGAAGTCCTCTTTGGCATCTCCAGTGTCTGCTGCTCATGTTGGGGAGATGGGGGGGTGAAGGGCTGTACAGAGGCTACACGTGGAATCGTAGGCCTTCCCTGGTCACGTCAGGGGGTACATACAGACCTAATACTATATGACTATATGGGTGGTTGTCAAAATTATGGTCCCTTTTCGGATCCCTATTAATTTGCGGCACCTAATATTTAGGGTACCCAAAAAGGGACCATAATTTTGACAACCACCCATATTATATTCTAATATATTGT